GGGGCGCGGTGGGGCGGGGCGGGGCGTGGCGGGGCGGCGCGCCAAAGGGAGGCGGGTACCGTCGCGCTGCACCACACGCTGCATATGGTTGTATTATTCGCTCGGGCAGCGTTGCTGGTGGTCGGTAATCAGGCTTGTCCGCCCTACTCCGCCCCGCCCCGCCGCGCCCCACCACGCCCTACCACATCTACCACCGCGCCCCACCACGCCTTTCGTTCGGTGGCGTCGTCGGCGTCCCCGCCGGGGTGCCCCGCTGCTGCCCGCCCGAAGATGGCACATTATTTACTGCGGCCCGACAGCATAACTCACGTGAACTTGTGCCGCGTGCGTGTGTGTGTGTGTGTGTGTGTGTGTTCGTGTGTGTGCAGAGGACTGCGCAGGGCCGTGCTGTCCGGCGTGTGTGTGTGTGTGTGTGTGTGTGTGTGTGCGTGTGTGAGCGCACAGGGCGCGTCGCTGCAGAGGTGAGGTACTATACGTAGCGAGGTCCTTGCATATGTGGTAGGGGTAAAGGGAGAGAGGGGAGAGGGGGGTGACGCCCGCTGCAGGTCAAAAGCTTTGCTTTGCTTGCTGGCCGCCGGCCGGAGATCTTGCAGAGGGGGAGGCCGGCGGTATGTTTTCCAGGAAGTTGAGTCTTGCAGACCTGCGCGCGTCCCGTCCTCCTCACCCCGGGGTGCACCGCGGGGTGCTCCGCAAGCCGCGCGTCGGCTTGAGATGATGCAAGGGGATTTCGTAACGTACGTACCCCCCCCCCCCTCCTGCGCCTGTCCGTTTGAAGAAGATGTTCTCCCTCACGCTGTCCTGTCCTGTCGACGACGTGCATGCCCTGGAAGTTGGTGATTAAAATGTGCCGTTTTTTGTTATTTCTGTTGCAGGCGCTGTGCAACAATCTGCCTGAAAAGAAGTTGGCGTAAGTTTTGGTTGAGGTGGACCATTGTGATGTCTGTTACTACTTTTATTTATTTCGAATACTATGACCAACTTGTTTCTGTTTTAGGTTCACCCCACGCAACCTTCTCGACCAGTGCCCGAACCTTTCGCTTGTGATCGACCTGACCAACACGATGCGTTACTATGATAAAAGGGTAAGGGTTGTTTTCCTAGAGTTGTAAAAATTATTTTCGTTGTGAAACACAATTAACCATAAACCTATTCTGCAGACGTTCCAGGAGAAGTCTGTGCTGTACGAGAAGATCTTCTGCCCCGGTCACGTGATCCCACCCAAGGATATCGTCAGAAAGTACGTGCGTTGTGGAACAGACTTGGGTGGGGTGATAAGCCTCTTGTCTATCGGCGGAATGTCTCTGCTCCTCCTCCCCCCCTCTCTCTCTCTCTCTCTCTCTCTCTCTCTCCCCCCCCCCCTTCTCCCTTCGTGGAGAATGGGGTAAAATTAATTTGACTGATCACGACGGGGGACCCCGGGGGGACCGACCCCATAGCAGTGTCGGCGGTAAAGCATGACGACCATAAGTGGGCCTAAACGAGGGATAAGGATATGGGGTACGGTACATGGGGTGTATGGGGGAGGAGCGGGCAGGGTCGCGCCGGGGGCGGCGCGGGGGCGGCGCGGGGGCGGCGCGGGGACCAACACATAAACAAGGTGTACGGGGAGGCGGTCGGAGGCGGCACGGACTGCTAGTCAAAGGGTTCGGGGGACGGCCGTGAGAGCAGCGGCGAGGAGCCCGCCACGCCACACTCGCCACCACCACCGGTAACCTTACCTGCTTCTTGAAGGTATGGTTATTCCACTCGAAGGGAAACGGAAGCGAAACAGCATCTACTCACTGATTTTTACTGTTTTTGCTGGTGGGCAAAGGTATAGTTTTCAAACGGAACACGCTGTCGTGGTATAACAGGACAATTACTACGCAAACATATTTATAATTAGTAAATGCTGAGCGGACGGGATTTGTAGCTTAATAACTACCGTTGATCAGGCGCGGAAAGCTGTGCAATTTACTTGCGGAGGAAGTTTGGTGTGGGAAGCAGTTGACTTTCGGCGTCTATAAACGGGGAGTTGCTATCGTATAGCACACCGGTCAGCCGCATATGCAGCCATAGTTTTGAGTCTGAGCCGTGCGCCCCATCTGACTGTGTACAGTCGGGGACGGGATGAACCCCCCCGACGGGGCCCGGGGCACGCATAATTGCCGGAATATGATAATGGCCGGCCAGAGCATTATTTGTTGTTGATATTTACACGTTTTCTTTTAACGGCGCGGCTTTAGCAGCGCTATATGGGGGCTACTGGAACAAGGCCCCTTCCAGGCGGGGGCGGGCGTTCGTAGGGGTGAGTTATAACGGTAGGACTTGAGAGAGAGAGAGAGAGAGAGAGAGAGAGAGTATGCGCCTGTGTGCGTGCGAAACAAGACAGCGCTAGTATAAGGAAGGGTTCAGACCCTGAGGAATGTGCGGTAGTGGTGGTGGGGCGTTACTGCGTGTTGTAGTCGCCATACCTGCACGACAACACGCACCCGGCCGGAGGCGAAGAAGACCAACATCCCCGATGTTATGGAACTGGCGGGGCGGGACAGGGGGGCAGATCCAATTGGCCGTGAAGCGGGGCGGAACGCGCGTGCTATCAAAGAGGTTAGGGCGGCCTGGCCCTGGCCACGCGCGCTCGGGGGTGACGGGGGGGG